CAATTCATTTTAGTATTATTCTCCCATCAACGCTTACATTGTCAAAGTGACCTTTTAACACCAGGATTTCCAACAAAAATGTTGTACACATTTCCCATCTCCAACATGCGTGCTACATGCCTCCTGTCACTTAATCTCTCTTCGATACAAATATTCTTCCAAGCACCTTTCTCACAAACATCCTCATTGTGTTCTTCCATTAACATGACATACAAAATTTCACACTCACACAAAACAATACAATATTACTAGCTCCGTCTATACAGTTTTGTTGCTGATTTTGTTGGAAATGCAATACTTTTCTATGCACTAAAGAAAAAATTGATGACGGGTGATATTATCAACAATATATGGCCTCGCCGCTGGGCGTAATTTTTCCATCCTTTGACTAGGGCCTTTTCTTTTGGATCAATTACTATGCCAAGAATGTACTTCGCACTTGTTTGATCGCGTATCATGAATGTGTAGCTTTAGAAACTAAGACCAGTAACAATGCAGTAGCTTAAAAACACAAGCTCATGGCAAAAAGAAACAAAGTCTGTGTGAAGCATTAACAATTCTGACGTTCCCGTACCCTTTGTTCGCCATGTAGTCCCCCGCATAATTCAACAGTGTTTATCGCTTCTTTAGATTAATCTTAAACATGACTCTGCAATGTTGTGGATCTTCATGAAGCATTGTGCAGTCAATTGTTTAGCATTCGGCCTCTAATGTATAATGCAAGATGTATGAAAAACGGAATTAGAAAAGACAATAGATACAAAAGTAAATAAATAAATAGATTAACATAGGATTTGAGACTTTCGCAGCGAGTACAATCAATAAAATCTTCTTGGGCAATCAGCCGCGTTAACTGGTTACCGTAGTAAACCGACGTTTCGGGAACCAACTGTCCCCACCACCAGTTAACTCGGTTGATTTCCCGAGAAGATTTTATCAAATAGATTAATCTTCATAATGCCAAGATCGATTGTACACAAATTTAAAAATGCAATTACAAGAATTCGCGCCGTTCATGTGATGAAATTCGGAATACCAACGGGTCAAACTTCAAAGGTTTTAAATTATAATGCTTAATCTGCTCTTGGAGCATTCTGTATGGTAGGTTTTAAGGGAGTAACGTGATACGGAGTCATTCTTAAAAATTTGATATTCAGGTGGTATAGTATCTGAACTATTTTATGAAAACCGCAGCTCCGTTATCGTGTTCACAGCCCACACGTTATGTCTCAAAGATACATTTCAATACTACCCTCCTATCTAGATCTGGGTCTTCCAGGTGGCCTCTTTCACTCAGGGTATCCTGCTAAAAAATCTTATGCTTTTCCAAGTCCCATAGCCGTGCCCCTTCCACTCTCTTCCTTGATGTAATCACCTTAACAGTACCAGATGAAGAGTACAAAATACGAAGCCCATTACGTAAATGTGTCTTTAGTTACTTCGGGGTATTATAATATATAAATATTTTTAACAGCCTGTTCTAAAATTCTGTTCCTGTAAACGAGCGGAAATTTCACATTCAAATCAGTAGGTAACATCATTTCAGAGCTGATAGACGCAACCGATACCCATAAAATATGCTTCGTTTAACTGCAAGTAAAATCCCTTCAACGCGAAACGTGTTTCCATTAAGCGGAATGTGTGTACATTTCCTCAATATTTTTACAGCATACGCCAGCACGTACCGCGATAAGCCCTCTTGTAAGCTAAGAGCTCTGTTCAGCTGTCGCAGACAAAGGCAGCTGGAGCTCCAGAGACGAGGAGATGATACCAGTTCGGAATCCTAAGTACATCAGAAATCATTCTCTCAGATATAAGACCTTTTCGGCTACCTGAGTACAATAGTTTTTAACTCCGTTTTGAAAGCACAGATGTTGGTTTCTTGCACGGCCTTGTAAGAAATTGGTTATATATTATTGTCATTTATTTTAATATACGATTCTTTGTTATTTGTCTATATTGTTTCAATGACGTCCAGTCCTATAGAATCGAGTCTCCATATATGGCGCGCTGACAAGTGGGATGCTGTCTTACATGTAAAGTAGCCCACACAGGCAATTACAAAACTATAACAACTGCTTTTCGCTTTTCAGATGTTTTTAAAATACGAATTCAAGTTTGTTACTTTGACTACAGTACCATATAACTAAGTAATACAATTCCATAATCACAACGTCCATTGTCCTTGGTTACGATACGAGGGAGTGAACTGTATTTTGTACAGGGCTGTATAAGATGCTAGCAATTTCAACGTCTGAAGAACTCTGCTGCATGGAGATAGTTAAGAGAAAGAGATAAATTAAAAGACTAGCCGAAAAACCATGAAATACG